AAAGCAACAGCTTCTGGCACCGGATTTTAAAAAGAAACTAAACTGCTTTCCAATTTACCTATTTTCTCCTGTCTTTAGCTAATCTCATTAACATGATAAGCAGTCTCCTGGGAACAAGTGAAACCTACCTTTGATAGTAAATATAAATTTTCAGGTAAAGTCTGCTTTTTCATCAGATCCTGTTTTAGTTAATTGCAGCATTCCTTTCAGATAAGTCTAGTTCCAAATAAAATAATTAAATCTGTAAACACTTGTTTAAAAACATGAGATGCCAGTCTGTATTTATCTGCATGATTCATTTTCTAATTTCCACATGAATTAAAACTGCCTCATACGACAGCAACTAGTAGAGTATATTCAAAATACTCCTGAACGCAAAATCCAGAAATATCCTCACCATTAAATCCAGTTTGTGATTAATTGCCAGGGCAGAGTGTTCCAGAGCCTTGAAGACAGATGCATAGCAATCACTTAGTTTTGTATACTTGCCAACGAGAGCTATGGAACACACCTTCAGCAACCTTTCATACCTGACAAAAACAAGTTTTTCAGTTATTACATCAATATTCACAAAGAAAACATTTTAACAGTGTCTTTAACTTCACAAAACATCTTCTAAAATCTCAAAACTGACAATGTTTTTAAACTCAGACCATTCACAGGTGTTGATCAGCAGCGTGCTACTGAACCCAGTCCAGTTTGGTGACTTCACAGCAGCTAAAACCCAAACTTGAATTAAAACACTTCTAGAAAAAGTAGCAGGAGTTAGAATACCTGTCAGCCATTTTCTTCCATTTCATTAGAAGATCACTTGGCTGGTCATCAATAGGCAAATTTAACCTCTGTTTAAAATACTTAATGATGCCTTGCTGCTCCAACAGGATTGGTACTCGATAAGTGGAAGAAACATCATGGATAAATATCACCTAACAAAAAAAAAAAGCATAACATAAAAGGCTTACCTAAATATTTTTCATAGGAAACACACTCTATTTTTTGTATACTACATGTGTTTTGTATTCTACATACATTGTAATTTTTTAATACTTCTCTTTTGAATGAGCAGGGCAGCACAGTCAGTACTTAAGGTTCCACTAAATCTACAAGGAAAAGGTTACCCAAGAGGTAAAACTGTGTGTCACTTCTTCATTGCACCACCACACAAAAAATAGCTTGTCAAGACATCAACACATCAGTTTTAATACAAACATCAGGCCCCACAAGCAGTCATGCTTGCTAACACTTCACTTTCCCTCTCTCACAAACTTGAAGAATATTAACCGGGAAAGAAAGAACACAAATGGAACCTAACAAAACAGACCCTCTTAGGTTGTTATAAAGTCTCCTAAAAGAATTTTCTTAGTGAATTAGGTTATGTAATTAATTAATAAGTATAGTCCATTCAAGGACCATTGAGTTAAGAACACATTTATAAACTGCGTCCAAGCTGCTGGCAGTTAAGCTCACTGTACTTGGCTTACATGAGACCATACAGTTCAGAATCCAGAGCGTAAGTGTTCTCTTCCCTGAGACACATGGGAAGGATACTCACTTAGTTATCCTGGAATTACTTCTGTTTATCACGTAAGTATGTATATATGCATGCTGCCCCACGCCTCTCTACGTGCCCATTCAACAGCAAAAAGAATAGGGTAACCACAGCCCTCCCACAGTAGGAATAAGGCTTATCCAACTGTTCTTCCAAACTTTGCAGCTACCATCCTAAGGATATAACATTAAGAAAGAATCACTAGCTGCTCTATGTTACAGCCATGCTGACTATGAAGAATGTTATAATCCTGAAACAGGCTGAAGACACTGCTTTTGTTTTGGTGGCACATACGTCAAAGCAAGGAGGAAGGACTCACTTGATAAAAGCAAATTAAAAAAAAACAAACGAATCCACTTAGAGGAAGTCTGTGGACAAAATAGCATGTGGTCTTCATGGACTAGTTATGACAATGCTGGAAACCATTTCCAGGCACACAAAAGACAAGAAAATCATCAGGAGTAGTCAGCATGGTTTCACCAAAGGGAGGTCATACTTGACCAACTAAACTTCTATGATGAAATGACTGGCCTGGCAGACAAGAGAAGAGCAGTAGATATTGTTTACCTGGACTTCAGGAAGGCTTTAAACGTTGTCTCCTGTAAGATCCTCATAGACAACCTGTTCATGTACGGGCAGGATGAGAAACAGCGAGGAAAACTGGCAGAATGGCCAGGCCCAGAGGGTGATGATCGCAAGCACAAAGTCTAGTTGAGAGCCTGTAACTAGTGGAGTATCCCAGGGGTCATTACTGGGTTCAATCCTGTTTAACATCTTCATTAATAATGTGGATGATGGGGCAGAGAATACCTTCAGCAAGTTTTCAGATGACACCCAAGTGGCAGGAGTGGCTGATACGCGAGAGGGTCATGCTGCCATCCTGCCAACAGGAGAAACAGGCTGAAAGGAACCTCATGAAGTTCAGCAAGGGGAAGTGCAAAGTCCTGCACCTGGGGAAGGAACAACTGTAGGCACCAATATACACTGGAGGCCACCCAGCTGGAAAGCAGTTTGGCAGAAAAGGAAATGAATGTCCTGGTGGACACCAAGTTGAAAATGAGACAACCAACAGTATCCTGGACTGCATTAGGAGGAGTGTTGCCAGCAGGTCAAGGGAGGTGATCCTCTCCCTCTACCTAGCACCAGTGAGGCCACACCTGGAGTACTGGATCCTGTTCTAGGTTCTCCAGTACAAGAGAGACACAGACATACTGGAAAACGTCCATGGCCCACAAAGGGCAATGAAGATGATCAAGGGACTTGGACATCTCTCCTATGAGGAAAGGCTGAGAGAGAGCTGGAAGCGTTTAACCTGGAGAACAGAAGGCTCAGGGATGGGTGTTGAAAATCTCATCAGTGTATAGAAACAGCAGAGAGAAGGGTGCAAAGAAGATGATGCCAGGCTCTCTTCAGTGGTGCCCAGTGACAGGACAAGAGGCATTGAGCGCAAACTGAAACACGGGAGGTTCCCTCTGAACATCAGGAACCGCTTTTTCACCATGAGGGCGACCAAGCCCTGGCACAGGTTGCCCAGGGAGGTTGTGGAGTCTCCATCTTTGGAAATATTCAAAAGCTGCCTGAATAACTGACCTGGGCAACTGGCTCTAGGTGGCCCTGCTTGAGCAAGGGAGTTGGACCAGATGATCTCCCTTCAAACCTTAACTACTCTGTGATTCTACAACAGCAAATAAATGGAAAAGGTGGACTGAAAAGATTGATCCCCTTGAGATTGTAAACCACCATTCTAGACACAAAAACTGTAGCTTCTTCTCTACTGCCATTGCACATAGCTCCAGGAAGACTGATGATGCCTCTAATCCTTCATTTCACAAGAAAACCAGTATCATTCTAGGGAATATATAGACATGTGGCCATCGTCTTCCAAAATACAGAAGTGGTTCATTAATTTTAGGACACACAAGGGACTTAAGAATGGCTTTACAGAATTCTGATGAATACAGTTACAAAAAGGAAATTAAAAATAAGGCTGCAACACAGTATGGTACCTAGCAGCACCCCAGTTCAGTCCACTGGATCTAGCTGCCTATATTACACAATATACACCTATATTACACAATGCAGTGCTGTGGATAGACATCTGAGCTACTCAGAAGCACAAGAAGAGTCCAGCACTCTGCTCGGGATCATATACTCAGCTTCTCATGAAAGCTGTTGACAGGTACAACTATTGAGCTTCTACTCTAAAAGGCATAACTTTGGAAAAAAAAACAAAAAAACAAACCCAAAACCAAAAAAACAGTGCCATGAAGACAGCTCCCTCCCTGCCAGGGAGGTCTGAGGGAAGACTCATGGGACTTTTAACCCAGTTAAACGGGTGTAATAACTGCAGTTGGAATGTCAGTATGTACATGCTTACACTTGGCCTGATACTGCCAGAAAAGCACACACCATTTTCAGTTGATTGAACTTCCAGTTGTCTCTCTCTGGCTGGAGAGGCACCACAAAGGTATTTCTGAAGGATTTTCCAGAAGCTAGCTCAAGGGTGTTGTCTTCCACAGATAGTAAGACAGAAGCAAGGCAGGGGGAAGCAGCAGCCATACTCCCCTCTACGTCCTCATCTGGAATCTTACTATAAAAAGCTTTTTCTTACACACTGCAGAGAGGTCAACATTGATACAAATCTGAAATATAGCATAACTGTTGGCATCTATTATCCCTTTAATATCATCCATTACATTGAGGAGTAAAATGCTCTCGCAAAAATATTAAAGAGCATTTGATTTATCAAAATTAGTATTTGAACTGCAATTAATCACAAAAACTATTACGGCCAAAATCACATGTGAATTATAAAAGGATATATTAACTACACAGTAGATGTTCTAAGCATGTTGAAGGACATGAATAGCCTATTACATATCATCACAGTAAGAGTGTTCATGTGGCTGTGATGATCTAGGGACATAAGCAAACCCCCTAGCTTTAACCACACTTTGTTCACCCATTATTATAACCACCTGAGATGATTTATGAACAATAACCAACCATAGATTGAAACTGCACTGTTTTCTCAACTATGTATAGCAATTAACCATGCACTCAAAATCTATTCCTTTTATTAATGTTAATGATTGTTTGACATAAAATTAGACATATAAACCCCCAACATTTTTAAAATGTTCTAGTGTACATTACAGCAAGATAAAAATTGTAAAAACAATTATATATTAATGAAACAGTCTGAAGTTGAAAACAGAAATGCAAAGAAATACTTGTATGCTTTCTCACATGTTTAAATAACGACAAATAAAATATTAAAGTACTGACCTGCTCAGGCTCCACATGGCAAAACATGGAAATCTTTTCCTTCACTGCCATTTCTATCGGTTTTGCACTTCTGCAGACAATCTGTCACAACAGAAGGAAAAAATCTTAAATATTTACTAGGCAAATCAACAGAAGATCCTCTATGCTGTTCACGGAGGGATTAACCTCCTTTGGAAGCACAGCAGAAACAAATGTGCCTTTTTTTCTCTTGCCCTCTTTTGGAGTGGTACAATGTATCAGAGTTCGCAAATATCTAGCAAGGCAGAAGTAAATCAGTCACCTGCCCATCCTGACCTACTTTTATTAATCTTTCTTTGGTGTTCTCTGTAATACTGCTTCCTTATGCTCTCCTTTGTTGTAGCTGCCATTGTAATACTCTTTACCGAAAGTCTAGCAGCTCTGTAAGTATGAATAATGTGATGAACCAAAAGAAATATTGTGATCTTATCAGCTAAATTTAGAGCAGTAACACTTAGCTTATATACGTGTTTGCTTCTATTTCAGTACTTCAGCACCTTTTTGTAATTCATAATTTGCACATCACGATAAAAAGAGTCTGAAGATGAGAAAACTATTTTATAATTTTATGGGTTTTTTTGGTTTTTTTCCTGGTGCAATTATTCTGCTATTATTTTGCTGATACATGTAAAACTTGGGAATTTTGGAAAATACTGGTAATTTTTACCAATAAAGAAAATAAGCACATGTTTTGGTGTTTGTAGAAAGGGTTTTTTTGCATTATGTCACTTATGATTTTTTGCATTACGTAAATTATGATCACCTTGCTAGAATGCAGCTTAGCTACACTGATATTGATGACGACTTATTAACTTCCCTTACCCTTGCAAGAAATTCTAGAAACAGAAAAAGAACGCCAAGTATAAGGGAAAATTAGTGCATATTCTAATAATCAAAAAAGAATCATGAAACAATTTGTACATGCTATTCAATTAAGCCCAACATACATAAAAATTGGGCACTGTCTGAAGACATAATTCATAAACCTTGACAGTATAAGCACATGATTAAATCCACTCTGAAATCTATCATCCATCTCGCTGAGACAAATTTAAAGTTAAGAGTCACAGAAATCAAAAACATCAGAATCAGCATGAAAATGCGAAACTACAGTAACAGTGGCAGAGATGCATCTCAAAGAAACATAATACAAAGAAGATGAGGAACAATTCAATTGAATAGGGCAGCACTGACAAGAGTATAATCAGTTTTCAAAATGCTGTAACAGAGCCCATTAAATCTGCAGATATAGTGTATTCGTTAAGAGCTTAGAACACCACACGGAGAACAGAAAAGCTCCTAACACATACACAGCTGAGACTGGCCCAGCACGCCACCTCGGGGAAGCCTGGGACCAGACAGCGAGGCAGCAGGTGTTAAGGACCAGTCGAGCCAAGTTTAGATCAGGCAGCCTGGCAGCACAGCTTAGGAAGGAAGCCCTCCTGACTGCTGTTCTAGGAGCTTCCCCATGTGTTGTCTTGGCCTTGGGCCCCTGCCCAAGACAGCAATCATTTAAAGATTCTCTTGAAGCAGCGCCCAAGCAACTTTACAACAGCGCCAAGAGGCTTCGCTCAGAGTGTAATCCCTCTGTGCTCTAGTGGTCAACAGCAGCAGTTTGAAAAAAAACAAAACAAAACAAAACAAAACAAAACAAAAGGAAAGAAAAAGTACTGCTTCTGGCAGTCCCAGAACTGCCCAAGGCAAGAACTCAAGATGTGAGAAAGTGACTACATTAGTCCATTTTCTTTTTACTACTTACACTTACACACACACATACACTTACTTAACAGGCTTTTAAAAATTAATTTTGGGATTAAAAAAGAAAAAAAAAAAGAAGTCAGGCACTAGCAATTATCTTAAAGGCCTTCAAAAATCACATGCAACTTTCAATATGCAATTAGCACCTCAAGAGGGATTTTGAAATTTAGGCCCTGAAGCTTGGAATATAGAGCAGCATCGCATTAACAAAAGTCTTTCTCTCCAAAAGCTGACTACAATTAACAGGTCACAAGAATCTGAAGCAACGTAACACATCCTTCACATATCCTATTTATGAAACCATTGTTTTTGCAGTTTTAAACGTGCTTTTTGATAAATGTAAAATGCAAGAGTTCAAAAAAAATCAGAAAGAAGCACAACATATGATTTAGTTGTGTAATTGTCCTCTTAAGAATCATTTTCCTTTTTGAGGATATAAATACTACACAGAAGCAGTGACTACTCTCACTACTCTTTCATTTCTGAGAAGGGTTAGGAAACTTTTTCTCCCAGTGGACTTTATGCAACTGTAAGCTGCTCAACAATTTCCAGAAACAACTATGGAAAATATTCTTTGACTTAACAAGCAGCCTCACACGAAAGAGCAAAATCGTCCTTTTCTGTTCCTGAAGCATACCTAGAAACACAGTGTGTTTCCAGCTGCACTAGCTGCAGCTCAGGAAGATATGAAGCATAAATTTGAACTGGGGCTGTACTGACATTTGAAGCTGTGCTCCCCTGGCTTCACTGCTGTCAACACTTGACCAAGCAGGTTAACATCTCCAATGGCAGACAGGTATCACAACAGGGAGCTGCAATCTACTTGTCTCCCCTCTGCTCCCAAGAAGAAATGCCAGGGAGGCAAACAGTGCATCCACATAATAAGCACATGCTCATTTCCAGAGCACTAGGGAGAGAGAATGGCAGGAGTTGAGCATTTGTCATCGTTTGCCAACTGGCACAAGGTGAAACTTGCTGGCTTTAGGTTCGCTATACTACACAGTGCAAGTCCAACACAAGAAAGACATTGAGGAAGCTCCCTTTGAAGATTCACCCACATATTCCAAACAGGCATATTTTTAAAAGCTGTACTTCAAAGGTAGGATTGCTTCTTCTTAATCATGCATAAAAAGAAATTTGTGAGAGAATATTAGAAGCCAGCAGCATTCTAGGTCTTCCCACAAAGTGAACTGAGACTTTATTTTTAGCAGTGCAGAATGATTTTTTCTGCAAAGATCCCTTTAGAAGAAGAACATAGCTACAGTCCCAAGATATTGCAAGGAGTCAGTCGAATTAAGTAAACTTGGAGTAAGTTTGAGTAATTTGATTTCCCGTGACTTTAGTGAAGCAGTGCTGCATACATGTTGCATATCTTCTAAATTTCTTGACTCTTATGGGAGACTAAGGCTTACACTTTGGACACAGGTTATGCAAGGATGCTAGTAGATGACCTATAAATAAAAATCTGCATTTACTGACTCACCAAATCTGGAGACAAGCCTAGACCCCTCAGTGCTCGAACACTGTTCTGTGTTGGTTTTGTCTTCTGTTCACCAGTGGCATTAGGCTGCAAAGACATATTTTGAAAGCTCAAATAGCAATTAACATCTACCAACAGAGCAGTTACAGGTTAAAAGAGAAAACTCATTGCAAGTAATAATATTTGCAGGAAGTAAGCACATCCAAAGAGACACAATACACCAGAAACAGAAATGGCACCACTGTTATTACCTATATAAGAAATTCTGTGAAGAAACCACACAGCCCTAACTCAGGTCAGGTTTATTTTATTTTTTCTTACAGAGGTAAAGTTTCAATATCATTGACTCAGGTGGGAGAAGAATAATATTCCAAAAGTTGGATATTCCTCATAAGTGGAGAATGTCCAACATACCACAAAGCCTTCAGTGACTGTCCTTGGAAATAATCAGCAGTAGTAAATAATTCTGTTCTCAAATACACAGAATCAATCCCACCGATTGCTGATCAATCTTCTAATCCATGGCTGCACTGGTTAATAATTCTCTTTTTATCTATACAAGGTGCAATCATATGATCGTTACCAACCTCTGCTTACCAAAATCTCCCCAACGAATACTTACCTCTTAAAATAATACGAAAACCTATTTGTGAAGTAAAATCTAGAGTCTGAATGGACAAATACTTTTAGCCCTGTACAATAAGTTGGTACTGACGGGAAGACCATTGTACATCGAGGAGTTAGTGATCCACATCAGCGTTCAGCTGAGGAAGCCCAGGCCTGTGCTGCACAAATCCCTTGGCTGGGCGCAGGACAAATCCAAACGGCAGTGCCCACTCGGGACCTGCCATTGCAGCACTTGGGTGGCCTTGCCTTTATCTAGCGATGCAGTGAAAAGTTCTCATGACAAAATCCTTTCCATCTGACAGCGAAAATGATACAGTTCTTTCCTTGCAGTAAAATTATTTATTAGCTTAAATGACCGAAAAGGGAGACTGCTGTACGGATGTGGTTTGCCCAGCGTGCTGTGCCAGGGCCATTCAATGCCACACCACCTGGGGCTCCCGCCACCTAGAGGGACGTAAGGTCATTTATACCGTTCTCTCCTTACATTGTTAGCGCTAACAAATGGAATTTTAAAAAATACCTTAGAGAGTCTTGAGTGACTTTCTTACTGGGTTCATAATGTACCAGCACCTTCCAGTGCAAAGCACAACTCTATTTAGCCTTCTAGATAAATTAGTGTTGATAAGGGATTTTTTTTGTAACTTTCAACACTATAACGGATTCTCACAATAATAAAGTAATTATCAAGGCCTTTATTTAGCCCAGTCTGGCTGGGTTTCATCCCTCTGTCTCTAAAGCCCTCCAGCATGAAAGGGTTAATGGGAGACGTAAACAAATATAAAGCCCAATACAGAGTAAAATCTATCTTATTGATTTTAATAACTTACCTGTGGTACGAGACTAACATGGATATTACAGAAGTTCTCTCTTTTTGCTTTGAACTGAAACTGTCTAAACGCTTCAATAAATGGCATTCCTTCAATATCTCCAATGGTTCCACCCAGCTGAAAAAGAAAGCTTGGATATGTCAGAGTGGCAGAAAGCAAAAACAAAAGAAAAAAATAAAGTGTACCTCTATATACTCAACAAGTTTTCTGAAATGTTTATCTTAAAAAAAACCTGACAATTGAAATTTGCAGGCATACTCTGCAAAGAACCCTCATCTGTTCTGCGCATTTTGTTTCCAGTGGAAAATATAAAACAATTTTCCAGTTTTGTTATATTCACTTTACACCAAAGACATAAGCTTTCCATGGGAAGGTGTGTGGTGCTACTGAATAATGTGCTTTCACACTATCTTCAAAGTGGTGAAAAAGTAATCAATAGTTAAGCTGATGTGAAGGTTTTTGTACAGAAAAATTTTATTTTCCTGTCTGTCAGATTAATCAACAGTTGTGACCAACAAGATACAGACATCTAGCAATACTATCATAGCTTTCCAACATCAATAAATGCCATATGGACAACATGAAACAGTATTTCACATTATAAAAGCCTTATAAAATATTTATTACCAAACCAAAACCCAAGACTAAGTCCATGATAAAACTTGTTTACAAAGACAGAAATTAGATGTCTTTTAAAGACACAAAGAGCTGTAGCAGACTAAGCACTGAATAAACCAGTGTTTAGCACATAAATCTGATGAACGAGTTGTATTTCATAATGATCTTTCTACGCCACCAAGTGGCTTTTGACAGAATTGCATATTTATGTTCACACAGCACTGGAAAAACTTCTACTGACTCTATCTCCCTCGGGATTTTGCCATAGAAAAACATTACAATTATCCATAAAGTCCTGAAGAAAAATACTTTTACCAGGCTGGATCTATAACAAAAAAATAAAATAAAAAAAAAAAAAACAACAAACCAACCAACCCTTATACGGAGGAAACAGAAAATTAAGTTTGAGGTTAAAGAACTGACAATCCCACCACATTAATATATTTCTGCAACTTCTGCATTTACTGTTTTTACATTTGTTTTAAATGAAATGTTTGACTTTTACTGTGCACATCATAAAAAAGGTCTATAGCTGTACCAATAAGTATATTTTAATAAAGGCAGATTCTTCTGCATAAGAAATGCTGAGCAATTCTGTGACCTGGGACACAAGGTTTATCACGCTATTGATTACGGTGGTCGCTTCTGGCATTAAATCTATAACATACTTTTCTTTCAAATTCTCAGGTATAATATTTTTCTGTATTTTCCACTGTAACAGTAATACTAGTAATTACTGACTGCCTTTCCTCCAGTTGTCTCAACACCCTACTAAGGATGGGTAATACTCATTATTTCCATTGCACAGAACATCAGCAGGTTAAGTGATTAATAAAGTTGCCTCCAAAGATCTTAAAAATAACACCAGAAAGTGGGAAAGTAACTTATACAGTGTTTAAATACATTCCTTTAAACATAACCGTGAGCAACATGATGGCCATTGGAAGCCATATGGAAAGCTAGAATGTTACAGGCTCTCCTACTGACCACAGGTGATTTCAAGTTTTCTCAATATTATTAACAGTATAATGCTTCAGTCAAATAGAATGGAATAGATACTTCACATTATAGCAACTGGCTGCTTTAATTTTATAAACTGTTAAGCAGCTCAGTTTCAGCAGTATTCTAGAAGGAATTTAGCCAAGAAGCTGTAGGGATAATGATGCCTATCATTCTCAGAACAAGAACAAAATAAAACATGTCTTTGCATTGCTGGTCTCCATAAAACTTCAGTCTGACCTCTTACAGTAAGTAGCAAAGAGAAAGCAAGCTAGTTCTTTGTGTTCACTGCGGATATATATCCTAAAAGGTTCCATACTTGCCTCAATTACGCAAATTTGGGGCTCTCTTCTGTCATCATCCACCGGAACTTTTGCCTGATTCATTACCCATTCCTGAACTGCATCAGTGATGTGTGGAACAACTACAAGACAAAGCCAAAGAAGGCAAGCATATCTTACTTTAGGCCCATATACCAGTTTTTGCATGCTAAAGAGGGAAAACAAGCAGAAAGTCAAAAGGAGACTACTAGCTCCTTTTCTATTCCTCCTTTCCTTGAACCCAGAAGCCCAATATTACAAGAATATGCCTGTATCTCGTGGGAAGGAGAAAGGAATAAGATGATGCAGCAAGGAACAGCTTGTTCTAGCTGATCACTCTTTTGTGAAGACTGAATGGACTAGTATCCCACAGAATTGAAAATATCACCTTGAACGGTTTTTCCCAGGTAATCACCATGTCTTTCTTTATTAATGACATGCTGATATATCTTTCCAGTGGTGATGTTGTTATCTTTGTAGAGATTGATGTCCAAAAATCTCTCATAATTTCCCAAATCTAAGTCAACTTCTCCACCATCATTCAATACAAAAACTTCACCTGAAAAAAGAAAGTGAAAACAGACAGAAAAGCAATAAAATAATCAGAAATTGTTAAACAGCAGAAATACCAAAAACTTATCTTAATATCAAAGAAATGTTTTTTAAAATTATATATCACGACATATCAATAAAGCATATGCTTCAACTCAATCTGTGTTGTCACTCTGAGTGACTTAATATCCAAGTCACGACTTTTACATCGAATGCCTATCCCTCAATCACATATAGTTTTGCAAATAAATTTAAGTTATATTGCCAAAATATTTAAGTGACTTAAAAATATTTAACCAGCATTTCAACAGCATGATTCAATCCTTGATTGGAAGAAAACAATCTCCAGGAATCATAAATCAGCAAAAAATAAAATACTTATTTGCATGTGGCAGTCAAAAACTGTGCTTATATGAGCATTAATTCTTATGCATGTTCAGAGTGTTTCACTATAAATTCACGTTGTTTGGATCTTAATGATTAAGACTTGGATCAGGAGTAAAGTTATGATGAACATAAATGCTTTTTCAAAAGTGATCACTGTTTCTTATCCGGTTGTTTCATCTTGTATATTTGGTTGACTGTCCACAGCAAGGGTTATTCCTGACCCTGAAAAATCTAGTGAAAATATCCTTCAGGTTCAGACTTTTCTTAGACCTCTAAAGAGTCTCTAAATTCTGAATCTAGTCAACTTCTGAAAGAACTAAAGTTGCTAGATCTTGAGGTGTGGCTGGAAAGCTCTTCAGAAGAATCATAAAGTATTTTGCCATGACCCAATGAATCAATGGCTAAACAAGTTATAGGACTTAATGTACAAGGAAAAAAAAAAAAAAAAAGCAATCCAGCTGAAGGTTTAGTGTGGACTACAGAAATATGATGTGGACAACAGTCTGCTTCAATTAACAGTTTAATGAAAACACCACAATGTATACAACAGAGTGGAAGATTTATGCCTGATCCTGTGAGGCAATGAGTACCTCCTCTGTAGTAAGTTATCATCTAAGGCAACAGATACAGAGTGCAATCAACATTTCTCATAAGCAGGCCCTTGAAGAATGAAAAAAAAATCTTTAAAAATCCCTCTTTTTTAGTTAACCGGAAATCACCAAATAAAAATCCTTTGGCTCAACCATATTTCTCCCAAAGTGTTAACAAAAGAGGCTTGCCACTCTGGCTTGTGTAAAGTCCTCCTTAGTACCCAGCAAGCCAGTGTTTCTTCACAAGCAAGGAAACTCTTAAGTGAACAGAGGGAGAAAAAACCCCACGTGTTGGTATTACATGCCATGGTATCCCCTCTCCCTTGTACCTGATCCAGGGGAGCAATTCATTCTCACAACCTCAAGTCACCACAATAGTTTTACCACCAAAGGTTACCACCTCCACTTAAAAAGAAAAGTAGTCTTCTTTCAGTCAGGAGATAAACACGTTTATCTGCAGTTCCAAAAATTTCAGTCTGGACTAAAAGTAAGCAGACAAAGTCCGACAAATAAAAAAAAAAAAAAATAGAAATATCTATTGCCTGAAGGTACTTTGGAACTTTGAAAACCATTGTTTTCAATAAATGTACAAGTAACAAGACAGACAGCTGAAGGAACATTCAAAATTATAAATGCATTTCAGACTGTCTTGCAGCTTATCAGCAATGTAGTCAACAGAACCGACATAGCTCAGAGAACTAACCAACCAAACTAAGCATCTACTTTAAAATGGAATCACTAGTTAGCTTTCTAAGCTTCAATAATGGTTTTGACTAGATCCTTATTGTCTAAAATGGGAACTTAATCTAATTCTTATGAAGACACGCTAGAGGCACTGACAACTAACATCCAGGTAACAGCACTCACAAGCAACCACCAAGGAGTTGTTTCAAAAAAAGTTTTACAGTACTATTCCTTTTTTAAAAAAAAATCAAGTTGAACTGAAGGTAGCATTGACTGAACAAGGCCTAGAGCTAGGATTTTCCCAACAAAGTGGTACTTTATATGAAGGAAGCATCTATTCATAAAAGTATCTTCACCAAATGGGCTTCTCCTCTCCTCAATCAGAGCAGACAATGCCCTTGAGAACACAAAGTAAGGAGCAAACATGCATTGCCAAAAACACTATAAAATGACTAATAACTACCACATTACTGTTTTTTAAAAAACAAACAAAACAAACCAAAAACCCCAACACATTACTGTGAATATAATTATTTATGCAAAAGGGAACAGCACTGCCCTTCATACCATGTTCATATGGTGAAAATGTTCCAGCATCTATGTTTATGTAAGGATCAATTTTGATTGCAGTGACACGTAGACCACATGACTTCAGTATGGTGCCAATGCTGCTTGCAATGATCCCTTTGCCAATGCCTGAGATGACACCACCGGTTACCAGGATGTACTTCATCGGAAAACCAGCACAAGCACACTGATCTTCAGCTGGAAATCTACAATGACAGAGATATACATCTGATGAATGCAAATTTATGCCAGGAAAGAATACAGCCTCAGTATGCAAATAATCTAAGCTGAAACAACCTTCAAAAACAGAAAACAAAATCGCCATTTTGGAATCTGGGAGTAGGATTCCTCTCTCCCAGCTTATACACTGATACGTAAGCTAAGCGCCTAAGCCTACTCCGCAGTCAGTGGAAAAACAGATACCGTTTTGATATGCCGCCCTGTGGAAATGCCAGAGGTACAGTTCATCCAGCCTATTCCTCTCCTGTAACAGGAAAAGCCAGCTAACTTTTAGAACCACAAGATAGACAAGATGAATCTCACCCTGGATTCTTTCAAAATTACAGATGTTAATCATTTCAGATGTGTTTTGAGAAGCTAGCTCAAAGATTGTTCCTTGCTACATTAGCCAGAACACTCACATTCTCCACCCAGTAGCTTTACCTTTAAAAATAGTAGCTGTAGCTTCAAATATTTATCAAAATCAGAATGTTATACCATCCACTCCATTTTTCAGCAGCTTTCACTTCTCCAACTCACAGTATATCAAGTATTTCAACAAAAGTCTTACAATGTCCTACAGATCAACAGAACATGATACCAGAAAAGAAAACCTGAACCAAAACATCCATATTTATACTACAGTATATTACCGATCAATAGTCTCGAGTTCTTTCTTCACATACCTACCCATTCTCCCTCTCCAGGTAATTACTGTGAGAGAAAACATCAGAAAAAGAATCACCTAGCATCTCTGGACAATGAGGCCAGTTAAGAGTTGATGCTGTTCTAGAAAACAACATTGTATCTGTTTAAAGTTTCAGATTTAGAGAAACACTTGATGCTATGACACATATTAGCATAATGCATTCAGAATAGAACCCTGAGCAGAGCAGCTCTGAGAGCTATGGCATGTGGCCTTCAACATGGCCAACTCGTCAGTTTCTGCTTCCCGGTCTAGACCACAAAATAAATGATTCTTCACAAGACTAAGTGCTCACAAACACTATATCCTGAAGACATAAATACAGTATTTAATGCATATTGTGGTTCTGAAGCCTTGATCAGATACACCATCATATTTCACAATGCTCTACAATACTAATAGCATGAACAACAATGGCTATTCAGATACAGAAACTGCCTCTCTTGAAAATGTCATTGTTTGTAAGCAGCCTGGATAATTAAAACTGAAAAAAAAAGGACCTGCTATGAACTAAGAGATTCAAATATCATACTAGGCAAATCATATGATTGGGTGGGGGAAATAATCTAATAGATGCTAATATACCCATGCCACCTTGGACTGTGCGAGTATGAATGGTGAGGGATCCAGAACTATTAAAACAGACAATGAGGAGACACTCCCATGCCCTAAAACCTGATAATTACTATCCCAATTAAAAATTCTTCTGAAACAGAATGATGTTGTGTGTATCTCATCCATAATTGCATTCACATTACGTTCAGGCAGTTGTGGAGGCTAATCATTGGAATAATTTTTGAACAATGACAGTGCGGCTCACCACAGAGCAAAAATTCCAGGGTGAAGAAAATCTTTCCTTAACTACCTAATTCATTCAAAACAACATGCAACAGCACATGATCTAAACGCGCTCAGGATAAATCAAAGCAATACGGTTCTTCAAACACTGGCAATAAGCAGCAGCTGGTGGACAAACGTGGCTCTTCCTCTTACTATACTGCAGTAACATAAATAAGGCCTGGATCTTCAGGAGACAGAATTCAAGAATGTAATGATGCTTGTTATCAACGCTCTTATGATTGATAATAGGAACTACTAAACTATTATTCCTTGGTCAATATAGACAAAAGGAAGACCACAATGAGCAAAAGTATTTATATCGGGAGAAAAGGACAATTGGGAATTAACTTTTCCCTGCTATTTAATTTTAACATGTAAATATTTTTTTAATAGCATAGATTTTAAGATTTGGAGCCTACCTCCTCCGTTTCAGACTCCTCCTTCATAAATTAGCTAATGTAGTTGTCAACATTAACATTTCACAATGAACTAAGCCATGTTCAAAGGGGAGGGGGGGATTAATTCCACAGGTATAAATCTTGAATACGTGCCACTTCAAAACTTTCAAAGCCTGTCACCTTGCTTACAGCAATCAAAATGAAAATCTCGCTGTGATTTTAGCAAGAATAGCAATTTCTCAGCAGCTTAAGTGTTTACTTGCAATAGAAACCAAACAACTCCAGGTGGCTTGGGCAGTGACTTGTGAGAAGGAAACAAGGGAGGGAAAGCAAAAAAAAAAAAGTAAAAAAGAGGCTACTGGAAGCAAACATTTTGCTGGGAACTGGAAATCGGCGCAAGCCGAGAGGAACACGAATTACTCCGTTTAGTCGCACCAACAAGAGCTGGCTCTCTTCAGCAGGGATTTCGGAGCCCTCCACCCCAAAAGCCCTGCACTCCGGCCAGCGGCCGGCGGCAGCCGAGC